GTGTGCTGGGGTGAGTGATGTGTTGTTTGGGTCTAGGAAGATTCTGAAGCATTCTGATAGGCTGGATCGTATCGTTACTGTGGGATCGAAGAGGATTTCCCCTTGTCGTCTTTGGTGTGTCTGATAGTTCTTTTCTTTTCTGCGGTGAGTTAGTGATAGTCCATCTTTTTTCGGTTTTGTTTTGGTGTTAAATTTGGGTGCGATTTTAAATAGGATTTCATTTGCGTATTGGGCGCAGGTGTGAGGGTTATTGCATCCTTCTTCTCGGTCTTTATTACATGCAGTACAGGGGCATGTTTTTCTCGGGAAGTGTTGGCCGTTCTCGCTGATTCGCGTTAGTCTTTTCCTGATTTTTAGAAGGTGTTTGATGTTGTCCGATTTATGCGTGTCTATTAGGCATTTATTTTTTGATTTGTGGTACGTGTTCTTAGGTGCGCCTGGATGGCACCATGATGGGAGACTTTTCTTAAGTTCTTTTGAGAGTTTTATCGGTGCGAAACTGATGTTGAGTTTTTTCGCTGTTTTTAGTATCATTTGTGCTTCGCGAGGTAGGGATGTCACTCTGGGGCCTCTTGTCGGAGGGACCCATGATGTGAGGAATGGGTTAGTGTTTTCATTATTGTTGTATTTCGGTCTTATTTTGTTCAGTATTAGGTCCATTATCGAGGCCCATGTTGGTCTGGACGGGGAAAGATCTAGGTACGATTTTACCCATGTCACTTCTATTGCTTCATTTCTTGATTTGATGTCGAGTAGGCCGATTCCGCCTTCTTCTTTTGGGCGGTGCATTTGTTCTAGGCTAATGGGGGGGGGGGGGGGTGCGTGCATTGTTCCAGATGAAGTTGCGTATGATCTTTGTCATTGCGGCTTCAATGTTCTTTGGCATACCTTGGGCTTTAGTTAGGAATTGTGTCATGCCGCCTGCGATCATTTGTACTATTAGTTTTTTTCCGTCTAGAGTTGGGTGGCCTTTTTGCCATTTTTTCAGTGCTATGTTGACATTGTTCAGTATCGGTTCCCATGGGGTTACATCATTGGTTTTGTTACCAATCCAGGCGCCTAAAGACCTTATGGGGTGGCCGTCCGGTGCTATTCTAATGTCGTTGCTTAGTGGTGGTTCGAGGTGGTTTGGTTGCCGTGTTCGTATTACTCTGTCACGGTGCGTTTTTGATCCTATTGGTATTATTTCGGTTTTTTCGAGGTTGAATTTTGCTCCAGATGCGCGACACCACTTTGATAGTATTGTTTCTAGGTCACTGTATTTGTCCGTCTCATTTAGGTATATGGTGGTGTCATCGGCGTATAGGTTTACTATTATTTTGTCTGTTAGTCCCGGTATGTTGTAGCCTGTGAGTTTTTCTGATTTTCGTAGTGTGCATGCTAATGGTTCAATTGCGAGGTCGAAGAGGAGGCATGAGAGGGGGTCGCCTTGGCGTACCCCTCTGGTGACTCGGAACGGGGCGCTTAGTATGCCGTTTATTGCCACCTTAGTGTGTGCATTTTTATACAGGGCCTTGACTGTCGTGATGAAGGTTTGTGGGAGCTGGAAGGCTTCGAGGGTTGTTATTAGGTAGTCATGTTTTATTCTGTCATATGCTTTTTCTTGATCGAGCGCAATTAGGACACCGTTTTCCTCAGCAATGTCTGCATATTCGATCATTAGTCTTGCCAGACGTATGGGGTCGAAAATGGAGCGTTTAGGTATGAAGCCGCGTTGGTCGGAGTGAATCAGTGAGTGTACTTCTCGTGCTAATTGCATAGCTAGTGCTTTCGTGAGGATCTTATAGTCGGTGTTCAGCAGGGTGATCGGTCTGTAGTTCTTTATTTCTGTGTGCTCATTTTTCTTATAGATGGGGCACATCCATCCCAGGGTGAAGTCTGTATTGTCATCGACGCCATGTTCCTGGATGTCGTTTATTACTAGTGTGAGAGTTTTGATTATGTTAAAGCTAGGTAGTTCTTTCTTTTGATCGTTGATGTGTTTTTCGTGTAGGTTTTTCCAGATCTCGTATGGGATTCCGTCTATTCCGGCGGCGCTACCTGCCTTTGAGGCATACAAGGCTTCCTGGATATGGTTTTCTTTTAGGAGGTTGTGTAGTGGTGAGTCGTCGTTCCATAGTTTCTGGGATTGTGGGATCTCGCTCATTGTGTTTTGTATTTCTGTTTGCCTCATTTCTGCTTCTTGTTCGGACATGTTGTCTTTTTGTAGGTTCTCGTGGTAAGATCGTGCTATTTCAGCCATCTGGTCGGAACGGTGTCCTGCATGATGTGGGAATCATGCATGGACATGAATACTAGGTGACCCTCAAAAGATAAAGTCTGTTAGCTTAGTCCTCAGACTAGTCAACCCATACCTTGGTTTCAAACCATGGTCCATATTTCCAGTTTTCCCCAAGTTTCATGATCTGAATACGTTTTGACGGAAAAAGTCTAATGTGAGATGGGAATCACATTTAGACCTAGTTGATGTGAGAAGGGAAATGAAGGTTAAGGTATAGCCTTGCCTTTGGCTTATTCACTTTGGCTAGAGAAAACCATAGAGAAAAGTACAAAGCCAATAAAAAACCTATCCAAAAAGACCGTGTTTCAATTCCTGCCAACTGTCTTATTTTTGCTACCTACTTTTCTCTAGTGTTTCTTTACTTTACTTTTTCATTAGGATGCTTTGACTCACCTGACACTTCATAAAATTGTACCCATAGGGTATGATGTCATTATGATGTCATAAGACTCCACAGATACTCCTGCAGGTATTCTGTTGAAAGATATTATGTCATCAAGCTCTAGATTATTCTACTCTACAATGACATCATTCATGATGTCATTTCCTTCTAGAATATTCTGCTCCACAATGACTCACTCTGACTCACTCATGGAAGGTTCTGGAATCTTTTGCTCCACAATGATGTCACTCTTGATGTCATTATGATGTCATTACTCCACATTCCAGAATGTTCTGCTCCACAATGATGTCATAGCTCCATCTTTCACCTGTATTTTATTCTTTTATTGGGTTTGACCCAATATTTTGATTGGTCCTCCTTATTTTTTATTGTTTGTGAACCTAGGTTACTTTCCCACACAAAATGTATATAAGGAGAGCCCATTCTCCCCCAAAAAATATATGATCTCCCATTTGTAGCAATCTGCCTCTCAGATATTTCACTTGCAAAGTTAGTCCCTTTGAAGTGAGACAAGTGCAGGGAAAAGAATTCCCTTGAGATTATAAGTTTCTTACCTTAGAAACTTATTAGTGCCTATAGACCAAGTGTTCTTGGTCACATATATTGTCTTTGAGACCCCTTTGTCTCATTGCTCTGTGCCCTTTGACTAAGCGATCTTAGTCATCTATCATATTGTTGAGACCACGTCTCACTAGTTGTCCCATAGACCAAGCGATCTTGGTCAAGTTATAGTCCCCTTTGTTCAAGCGATCTTGAACATATATCGTATATTTGAGACCATTGTCTCACAGTCAGGTGTCCATAGACCAAGCGATCTTGGTCATATTTCATATATTTGAGACCACGTCTCACTAGTTCCAGTATCCAAGTCCAGAGCCTAGAAGGAGATTTCCTAGGCAAATACATTCCAGAAACCGAATTACGTGTCTAGAAGCTTATTCCTAGACAAGAGATTTGAGTTTCAATAAAGAAAAGTAAAGCTCCGGCTAGGTTGATCTTTATAAAAAGATTAGTTTAGCGAGCCTCCCAAGAACTCACACGTTATCTACCACGAAATAGGAAAAGTCGTAGACCGTGTTAATCGAGGACTGGCAAGCAGTCTTATCCAAAGTGTAATTGTGGTGTCATTACATTTACACAACTTTATATAAGACCCTCGGTTATTAAGACATCACTGGAGCCCAACCGCGAGGGAGGCTTCTTTTTGATTTCTTATTGAAATTCACCCGTATCCATTGTATTATTCCCATCCAACTATTCATTTCACACACACAAAGCAACCATATCGTCCATATCAATTATCCCAAAGTCTAGCATAGTACCTCAGCCTACTATGTCACCATCTACCATTCCTACTATGGCACTGTCCATACTTACTATGCCTATCCCGGGTAGTAAGGCCGCACCCAAAAAGTTTAAAGGAGACTTCACTGAAGTCAAAAAGTTTATCAAGCATTACGAAAAGTTATGTGACTATAACCAAGTCACCGCTGACAAGGACAGATGTGAAACTATTAGTCAATATACTTCACGTCATGTCACCGAGTTCATTGAAGGATTGGACTCATATGAAAATTCAGATTGGAATGCACTCAAGGCAGACATTCTGAAATATTATGACGCAGATTTGGACATGAAGCGTTATAAGAGACAAGACTTAGTTTCATATGTCAAAGCTATGAGGGGACAGCATATTCCTACTCTAGCTGCATGGAAGAAATATGTACGAGGATTTATTAGGATTGCAGGTTGGCTTCAATCTGCAAAGAAGATTACAAAAGATGAGTATGCAGGCTATTTTTGGAAGGGAATTTATAAGAGTTTACGTGCAAAGATTGAAAGTAGACTCATGGCTAAGGATCCTGACAAGGATTTGTCTAAGGCATTTGCCGTAGATAAGGTTATCTCAGCTGCAGAAAAGCTACTTCATAGGGATCGGTTCGATTCAGACTTGCTTATCTCCGAGGAAAAGAATAATTTCTCATCTTCGGACTCTGAGGACTCTGACTCAACTGAATCATCCTTGACTTCAAGCAAGGAGTCATCTGATTCAGAAGAAGAGGAAGAGATTAAACCTCGCAAGTCTACACGAAAAGGTTCGAAGAAGCATTATGTGGCTAAGGAAACTCCTAGACATAAGGACAGACATTCTGGCACAGTAACACCTATGGATTCTTCCAAGAAAGTCAGAGGTAGCAAGAAAGCTACAAGCATGGAACCACGTGATGAGATTGAGGACCTGATCAAGCAACTCAATACTATGTCACTCGAGGATCCTCAATACACACTTTTGTATTATCGAGCTACTAAGTTAGACCCAAGAGTTATGCAGATTATTTCTCCACCACCTCCTAGGTTTGGTGCAAGAATGTCTCCTGACTCAAAGGTCCCAAGAATGAATGTTAATCCCAGTAATGGTACTGGAAGAGGTTATGGTCAAGGACGACCACCAGTGCAACCTGGTTCTAGATTCTATCAAGCACCAGGAACATTATATCACAATAGGATTTGTTTCGCATGTGGTGAAGTAGGACACACCATTCCCACTTGTCCCAAGCTCGCTAAGTTGGAAGCTGAAGGAAGAGTTAAAAGGAATGAGCGGGGACAGATTCAACATCCTAATGGGATTGCAATCAGACGTATGCCAGAGGAAACAGTCATTGAAGCACTTAAAAGGGAAGAGAAAATTCCTGTTTCCCACTTTGTTAGTGTCAAACCTGATAAGCCAAATCAGGAAGTTTTGACTAGCAAAGTGAAAAGGAAAACAAAAGCTAGAGTTTACGAAGACACTAGCGATGAAGGAGAAGACAAGGAAAGTGACAGTGATAATGATGCTTTTATGATCCCTGC